GGGGGGGGGGGGGGGGGGGGGGGAGGAGAGAAGAAGATGGAGCCTCCTCTTTCGACGAGGTCAAGACACGAGTTCAGAGCTTGGATGGAAGAAGGTAAGACCAACTTTTGGTGCACGAGTTTGATGAGGGTCAGACTCGACACAGCTACGAGTCAAAAGCGAAAACATCTCCGAACACGAATCATGCTTCCCAATGACTATCTACAGACGTGGGTAGCATCACTCAACAGATGGCTCAACGGTCGGCAAATCAGGCCAGGAGCTTGAACGTAAGGGCAGAGAGAAGGGGGAAGGCAGGGAGAGAGAGAAAGAGAGAAAGAGAGGGAGAGAGCGGAGAGGTGCTCGAAGAATCTTGACGATGGGACAGACGCGCAACGTATTGTACACATTCATGATTGAGCATTCATGATTCCACCGCCTCGAGCATGTCCTCAACCGCAGAGTCACAGCTGAAGTAACAACAACAGCAACATCAACAAAGACGAGGTTCGTGGTTAGAAAACCCTGGAAGAACCTGCTCGCATGCATGCACAACGTACTGTACCATGTACGTACTCCTTGTATGTACTGTACAGACAGAGGCACTGCAGTACACCTACACGCTGTACCGTGCATACACCGAGCGAGCCATGCCCCAACTTCTCCCCAGCAATCCTTGGTGGATCCAGTCCCGTCCCCCCCCTCCCCACCGCCCCAATTCGAACCATCATCTTCCCGCCTCCAACACTACTTCAGCCACACGATCCTCGCTGATCGGCAGACAAGCAGCGAGATCCCCTTCCTTCTCCACTTTCCAGCGGCCAAGCAAGTATCCCAAGCATCCCAAGCCAAGATACCGCCCGCCCGAACTTGCCATGGTTTGTCCCTGCACTGAGGGGCGGAGGGAGTCTTTGGGTTTTTCGATTTCAAATTATTATTTTTTTCAATTTTTGGATTTTTCGATTATTATTTCACCAGAGCAAACGTAGGATGAAGAGGGGGGTCTCACGTAGAGAGGGGTTTGTAGCTAACCCCAAGCTGTCGAGTGGATATCGTGGGGGTTGCTTCGTTGGTGCGAGCTGCAACCTCACGGTACTGTACAGTACTGTACAGTACATGCGCATGCGAGAGCGTTAAACCTTGGCCTGACCAAGGCAAGTTGCAGGTTGGGAATCCCAAAGTTCCTTTGAGACCTCTTCTCTTCTCCTTCCTTTCCTTCTTCTCTTAGTTTGAATCATTTTCTCTCGCTCACTCCAATGCAGCTCCCCACCACCCCCCTATCCCAAAAAAAAGAAAAAAACAAAGAAAGAACGTAAAAAGAAAAGCAAGGTCTTCGGCAAACTTTCGACTCTGGAGCGGTGATTCAAAGTTTGCAAGGGATAGAAGCCCCCTGATGGTGCATCGGCGCTACGTGACGGGGGTCTTTATCAAAGATTTCTTCCAACCAGCCTGGCGGGACAGGGGTAGACTGTGACTTGGTGTCGAGGAACCCAACTCTCTGGGCCCAAGGCGGCAAAGATGGGCGGGAGGCGATCACGATGAGATGAGGAGGGGAGTGGACAAACTCCGATCGAAGAAAGGAAAGCAGACTGGGGAATAGGCGTGGCATGGTTGACATGATCGGTCCATTGAGGAATCTTTGTAGATAGAGGGGGAAGGGGTTATCAAGGACGAGTGGCGAGTTACAGTAGAAAGGAAGGAACGCGGGGTGAGAGCGAGAGTCGACCAAGCGATCGAGGAGCGGGGTTGTAAAAGTTATGAACAAGGGTGGCTTATGGAGCAGGAACTCTACTACACATCCCCACCACCGGCCCGGAGTCTCTGCGTGGGGAGCTTTCTTTGTCTCCCAATCACCATCTGATACGAAGCAAGAACCTGTTCGGGAGGTCTGGAAGCATGACGAGGTGGGTTAAATCGCTCAACGTATGGGCCAAGCGGACCCATTTCTTGGTTCCACCTCTAAAGAGATCCTTTTCCTTCCTTTTCCCGTCGCAGGGTCAGGGTCAAGACAGAGAGGCTTGCACTGCTCATCTGCCGACACGAAACTCGAGGATCGACCAAAGAACGCTGAACGGTTTTTTTTTTCCCCTATGGATTATTTTTTTTTTTTTTAAGAAAAACCCTCCTTCCCTGGTTCCTCTTTCCTCTGTTTCTTGGGGTTAGCTCCCCCTCGCTTCCCTGGCACCATGATCGTCACATGAAGCGATTCCGACTACCGAAGGTTTGCAAGAAAGACAAGGAAGGCGGGTGGGGGGAAGGACGTATGTGGACATGAATTCTCCATGCCAAGTCTCGCGAAGGGGCTCAGGGGCTGATGGAGGGCTGGGCTTCGAGGGTACAGAGTATACCTTGGATAACCCAAGGTGATTGTCGAGCTGGATGAGCGCGGGTCCGAGGTGAAACTCAAAACGAGGAGGATAAAGATAGGGTGGGAGGGTAGGGTGGCTGGGATGGGGCCACGAGGCGAGGCCTCCTGGAGATGGGTTGCATCGTGGTTGCTCATCGATCTCGGTACGGCTACTACTCGTGACTTGTTCGTCGTTTGTCGGCAACCTTTGCTCGAGCCATGTCGCACGATCGTACGGCATCACGGACCCCGACGGGGCGAACCTCGAGAGTGGACAGAGGTAACGGAGGAGGAGGGCGAGGAGAAAGGCCAGAAGGAGGGTCTGAACACGAAATGGCGGCTGGGATCGATTAGATCATGATTGAATGCTGTAGCAAGGTACAACCGAAATCGCACCGAGAACACGATTGGGGAGAGGGAGACAAACAAGGACCAAAAAGAAGAACATAGAACGAAGAAAGAAGGAAGAAGGAAGGAGAGGAAGGAGGTGGGACTAGCGTTTCGGTGAGGAAGTGGCCTGCCATGAATTCCATGGTGATTGACCCCTGTAACGGTGGCGATGGAGAGCGCATTCATGCTCTCTTCTGGCTCCCCCACATTGTGTCATCCACCCAGATCCCTTCGTGGAGGTCGAAGAGGGAGAGAGGGAGAGAGGGAGAGAGGGAGAGAGGCGAGATGTATGGATGGAAGGGACAGCATCGATCGCGCGCGTTGGTGTGTCTGTTGTTGTTGTCATTGTTGTTGTTGTTGTTGTTGTTGTTGTTGTTGTTGTGTTGTTGTTGCTGCTGGTGGAGGTGGTGGTGGTCAAGTCCTATTAAATAATAACCGCCTTGATGGGCAATCGGGCATTCGGGTCGGCAAACCTCGTCGAATAGAGAGAGGGAAGGGTTCGTTTGGTTCTTGTGGGGATTTGCGCCTCCACTCCTGCTTTCGCTCGTCGGTTACCCACTCACACATTCCACTCACCGTTCTTCAACTGGCCCAACCACGAACTCAACCCACTCCTCCCTTTCCTCCCCCTCCCCCTCCCCCCCCCCAAAAAAAAAGACTAGGTATGTACATATGAAGACATGAATTCGCCACCCACCACGCGAGGAAAAAGGTTCGTGCCGTGTTTTCCATTTCGCCGCTCCCTCTTCCTCTTTCTCTCTCTCTCTCTCTCTCTCTCTCTCTCTCTCTCTCTCTCTCACTCTCTCTTGACGCGTTGGAACCTTTCATTCAAGCGCACTCACCAGCAAAACTGGAGTAAACTCACCACTCGCACAAGGAAGGGGGAGGCTGAGCAAGCCCAAGGGGGAAACTTTTCAGTCGCTTGGGGCGAGGCGAAGAGATGTTTGAAGAAGAAAAAATGGGAAAAAATAAGAGGTCGTACCGCGAGTCGAACGCGGGTCTTCAGAAGGGTGTTGTCTGAATGATCAGACAGATGTTCAGAATCTGACGTCATAACCGTTGGACCATACAACCCGCTGTGGCTCCAGACTGAAGTTGTACAGTATCAAAATTGTAAGAAGACATGTTCTTTGTTTAGAGTAGGTCATCGGCCTCGAACGGGCTTGGAAGACAGACAACCTCGTGCTAGCCTTTGCCTCTATTGACACCCCCCAAAGTCGGAAGCGATTCTCGGATCGGCGTCCGTTCTCGGATGACCAAGCTCTTTCGTGAACGAACGTCAAGGGGAACGACATCCGGCGCCGTCTCTCCACTCCCTCCCCGCCTTCGGTGTACTTCGTGTTTATTCGGTCGGTCGGTCTCGCAAGTGTAGTGAGGATAGGCTGAGGTGGTCACGTGCCATTGACCCAAACGCTTTCGGCAAACTTCGCGTTTGTTCGGGCAAAGGCGGGGTTGAGTCACCATGAGGGAAGAGATACCGACCAGGATGAACGCCTTCTCTCGCCTTGGTTGCGTAACTCCGAACCCACTTTGGCATTAGAGGAAGAGGGAACAGTGAGGAAAGAAAAAGAAAAGAAAAAAAAGAAAAGAAAAAACGTAGAGGAAACCTTGTTCCTAAGGCTAATCTCTTGTCTCCTTCCGGAACCCCTCTCTTCCTCCCTTCCCCTTTGACCATAAAAGAGGAGGACCATGGACAGCTCTCGGTATCTTGCTGTTGAGATGAAAAACCATCAAACTCCGCCACCCCTTGGCTTCACTTTCTAGAGCCCTCCTCTGATCCAAGCAAACATTACCCCCTCCCCCCCGGGGCGAATACCAACCCGACTCGATCGTGCAAAAATCGGCTTGGATTCCATCCCGTGTCAAGGAGCGGGAGAGAGTAAGAGATGGAGACACCCACTTGCGATTCGTCACGCGAATCCATCCTTTCCGAGGGGACTGCCTCGGTCATCCCGGATGATACCTTCCCCAAGCGAACGACTCTGGGGAACGAGGATGAGGCATCCAGGGTACCCAGCCTTGCCGAGCATTCGAAAGCGGCGCAAGGTTCCGAGGCCGCCGAACCACCTTCCTCCCCATCAAAGCATGGTCAGCCTCAGCCTTACTCGATCTTCAGCCGGAGGCAGAAGGCGTTCCTGGTCGCCATGGCCGCCTGGTCGGCCTCCTTCTCCGGCATCTCGTCCAACATCTACTTCCCCGCCCTCTCCCAGATCTCTTCCAACCTCGGCGTCTCGATCGAGCTGGCCAACCTCACCGTCACCCTCTACCTCATCTTCCAAGGCCTCTCGCCCTCCTTCTGGGCCCCCATCTCGGATCGGCTGGGAAGGCGTCTCGTGATCCTCTCCACCTTCATCGTCTACCTTGGAGCCTGCGTGGGGCTCGGCCTCACTCGATCCTTTGCCCAGCTGGCCGTGCTGCGATGCGTCCAGAGCACCGGAAGCGCCAGCTCGGTCGCCATCGGTGCCGGCATCGTCGGCGACATTGCCAGCCGCGAGGAGCGTGGAGGCTACATGGGCATCTTTAGCGCCGGACTCCTCCTCTCCACCGCCGTGGGCCCCGTGATTGGAGGTGCCATGGCGGAGACGGTCGGGTGGCGCGCCATCTTTTGGTTCCTGACGGCGTACGCCGGCGTCTTCATCGCCATGGTCGCCGTCTTCCTGCCAGAGACCTTGCGTTCGCTCGTCGGCAACGGTTCCGTCGCTCCGGCCTCTCCTTGGATGCTCTGCCCGGCTCAACGCCTATGGACTCCCACCGCGGCGGACATCGAGCGGAGCCCTCGCCTAGCAGGGACAACGGAGGAAAAGCCAAGCGGCAAACCAAAGCTCCAGCTCGACTTTCTCTTGAGGCCGGTCAAGCTCATCTTCCGTGGGAACGTGTCGCTCAGCGTCTTTTACCTCGCCATCCACTACTCGATCTGGCAGATGACCATCACGGCCATGTCGAGCCTCTTCGCCTCGTCCTACGGTCTGACAGAGATGCAGATCGGAATCACCTACATCGCCAACGGTGGCGGCTGCATCCTCGGCTCTCTCTTCATCGGAAAGGTGCTGGACGTCGACTACGCTAGAGTTGAGAAGAGGAGTGAGGCTCGGCGACAGCCCGTCAACCTGGCCAAGGCGCGCCTCCGGCTCACCTGGATCTACAGCCTCGTCCAAGGTGGTTCGACGATCGTCTTTGGATGGACCATCGCCAGGCGCGTCCACATTTCAGTCCCCATCATCGTCACTTTTCTCATCAGCGCCTCCTCCACCTCCATCCAGACCGCCGTCAACACGTATCTAGTCGACACCAACCCTTCCGACGCCGCCTCCGTCACCGCCTCGCTGAATCTGGCCCGTTGCTTGCTTGGCGCGGGCGCGACGGCCGCCGTGGCCCCAATCATCCGGGCCATCGGTGCTGGCTGGACATTCACCATCGCAACCTGCGTCCTCGTGGTTTCGAATGCCATCATCCTCGCTCAGTTGCGTCTGCAACGGACGAAACCAAAAATCAGATCGGATCTGCTCGCCTAGATTGCAACTTTAGAATCATCGCACAAACCACTTCGTCGGATACCCGCCTTCTCTTCGCCTTATCTCACCCCCTCTCCCCCATCCCAGAATGACCCAAACCGACCTCTTTCAACATTCGCATAGATTCACAGACACTAAACTCCAGTGACGCATCTTCCGACGCGCATCTTTACAGAGTCCTTGCTTTAGACCCGGATTGACCGGTCGGCAAGGGAACGAGGTCTCAAAAGACGACTCAGAGGTTTCATAGAGCAAACCGGCATCCCAAAAGCATTTGGATAGAGTGCCATAGAGCATTGCAACGCATCCCCTTCAGTTCCGCAGCAAATATAGATCTGGCACACCTTTCCCTTTGTTCTCAGCATTTCCTTCCCTTTCCTTTCCTCCCAGAAGTAGAATAGAAAGCATTACTCTACGTCCGCAGAGGGATGCTCTGATGGCTCCTGCAAACAAGAAAAATAAATCAAAATGAAACACCTTTGCATGTCTCGACCTGGTGTGTGATAGTTTCTTATCACAGCTCGAACGAGAAAGGCACCTCCTTCCCTTCTCTCAACCTTTCATTTTCCTTTCTTCAAGAATGAATGAAGGCTTCCCTTTTGTGACAATGGGATACCTTTCAGAGAGAAATTCGCCTTCGGCCCTGCTGATCCCGGGATATTGCGGAAGGCCTACACGGCGCGACGTACAAAAACTACTTTCCGCATCCTCTTACGTATTGTTTGCTGCATAACTCGGATGCTCACCACTGGCGACGGATGAGCCTGTCTCGCTGCCTGGAAACCTTTCCCCATTGACCAGATGGGCTGCCACAGCGCTTGTCTCGGCGTCGTCAGCAGGCCAGAGGGAGCCACTCGTCATTACTTCAGCCGAGGCTGGGGCGACGGGCAAGTTTTGGCCTCCCGACGACCAGAAATCCATCGCCGATCCGAGCCCGCTGTTCAGAGCTGCGTCGTCCAATGCATTCTGTCGGAACCAAGATTCGAAAAGCTGGTTGAAAAGTGCGCCCTCTTCGATAGCCTCCGACGGCGGCATGCTAAAGGCACCCGTTTCTAGCGAGGTCTCCTTTGCTGCCTGGTTAGAAGCGTTCGACGTAGAGCCCGAGCTTGCCTGTACAGTCGTCGGCGCGAATGAGGCCGGCATGCAAGCAAGAGCGTCGCTCTTTTTTCTCTCCGCACCATCGTCATGGTCATCACCATCACCATCTTTGCCTTGACTCGAGAGGCGTTGCCGTTTTCGTTTGCTCCCTGTCCTCTGGGCGCCGTCGGAATCCAATCTCTGGTTGGAACGCACGCTCTCGATGCGTTCAAGAAAGGTAGAGAGGACTAAGAATTCCCTCTCCTTGCTATCGTCAAACTGATTCTTATTCTGCTTGCTGAGAGCATAGTGTTGCTTTAGGGCACCAAGTAGCATTTCAGCATCCTCTTGGTCTGGTTCCACCAGAAGATGGATTCCCAAAACGATCACGGCGGCCAACAGATTGAATGTCCCCAAATGGTTGACCCAAGCCGGGCTTTCCTCTCCTTGCCTAGTGCGAGCAGCAATCTTTTCAGCAAGATCTCTGCGCAAGATGAGGGTCTGGTAGGCTGACGTGACGCACGCACGTTTGCCGGACTCGTACGTCTGTGTCTCCTTCTCTTGGAGTCGCAGGCTCTTCTTGCCCCTGGCCTTCGGCGTGGCGTGAAGAAGGTATGGCCGATGGATTGCCATGCGCACGAAAAGGATTTCGGTCTGAAGAAGGTAGCGGTGCACGGCAACAAACTCATAAGTATGGTCCCATGTCGAGTCAACGTGAGTCAAGTTGCCCCTTTCATCAAGTTCTGACCGTAGGTGGTTTGGAAGCGATCGGTGCAGCGCGACAAGGCCCTTGTCGATATCGGCAATCTCATCGTGGTCAACGTGTGCTTGCAGGCCCTGATGGGAGACTTTCAAGTTGCCTATTATCTTTCCTAACCGGTGACGGATCCCAAGATACGTTAGGAAATGTGGTTGAGGCCCACTTAGACGTGATGGTAAGCTTGTTTTGGAGAGAGGTGCCATGTATTCTGCAAAATCTCCAGCGGAATCCTCCTCGCTTGGCGGCTGCGTGTCCACCACCCTATCATCGATCCCTGTAGGCCGTCCCAAGTTGAATGACAAGATTCGTTCAGAGAAGTAGACGTGGGACCAAACCTGTCTCCGTATCTCGCACTCCTCCTTCCCGAGTCCGAGCAGGGATCCGTCCCGGTGGAGTCCGATAGTGTACGCCGCCTTGACCGCATTGACAATGCATGTCCAAGCGTCTGAGATACGCCTGTCCAGCATGAGATAACGGCAAGCCAGATGGTAGCCCATCACTTGCTCAATATCTTCACGGCCAAGCATGCTGCTCATCAGAAGGCTCTGACGGGCAGCGTAAAAGATGCGCTTGGTGGAAAGACGAACCATCTGAGCATCTCCAGAGATCTTCAAGGGGCCGTTGTACGTCAACGAACCAATCGCTGCTACGAGCATGATGATGGCGTACGTGTTGAGATTCGCCACGGTGAGGAGGGGACCAGAGCGCCAGAATTCCGCATAGTT